GCAGTGTAGTAGGATTTGAAATCAGGGAGTGAGATACCTCCTACCGTTCTTCTATTCTTAAGGAGTGCTTTGCTTATTCGCTTCAGCAAGCTTTTATTTGCATGTGATATTATTTTTTTTAAATAATTTGCACATTTTGTTGGCTCTCTTTTTTTTTCTTAAGTGAGGACAAATATGAATCTCTTCCAGTCAGGCCAAATAACTGAATCTCTTCCAGTCAGGCCAAATTTCTTAGCATAGACTAGTGAGCAAATCTAGGACTTCATCTGTTTATTGAAGCATGTAAATTAGTGTTTAAAAACTTCCTGGGACTTTATTTATTGCCAATGCCCTTAGTGCAGCTTGAACTTCTTCCTTCATTACCATTGGTTCTTTCCACCTCCTTATAATCTCACATTTTTATGTTTACATTGGAAAATGATACTTCTTAAAAGATAGTATCTTCTGAGCAAGTTAAGCTTTTTTCCAAAATTTTAAATGTATTTTTTAAATTGAAGCTGTTTGAGTAGACAGTATGAAAGCACTGTTTCCCTAGAAGCCAAATGAGAATTTTTAAAAGTAAGATTTGCAAAAAAAAAAAAAAGTAAGATTTGCCTATTTTTTAATGATCATTAACATCTACTCTTTTGCCATTAAAAAGCATGCTTGGGAAAAAACAAAAATGCATTGTACAATAGCACATTATAATGTATCAGATGTATCTTTTAAAATTATCTAGGTCTAGTCTATGTGCTAATTATAAGATTTTTTTAATTTTATTTTATTATTTTTGTGTGAGTGTACCGTCAAATCAGATCTGACTGGTACAGGAGGAGATTGTCCCTCCTTCCCCGGCAGAGCATCTGCTGGATTCGAACCGTGCACCTCTGGGATTGTAGTTGCAGCTCCTTACCACTAGGCCACCAGAGCTTCCCTTGATTCCTTATAATTTTATAGGATGAAAGTGATTTTTTTTAAATCTACTATTACATTTCCCCATTATGTCTTTTTAAAAAGTAACTTTTTCTATAAAATAACTAGCTTTACATGTAGTTATGTGAAGCAATACAGGAGGCTTTTGCATACTTTTACCTTGTTTAGCATTAGGAAAGTAACATCTTACAAATTACACTATAAAATCATAACTAGGGTTTAACAGATCTGCAGTTGCCCATGAGATCTTAATAAACTCATGTCTTGTACAAAAGGAACATGTTCTTGCAGCAAAGACCAATTCCTTCCTTGGGCACATGCAACACCCTCTGGGGAATAAAGCCACCTGGGAAGCTCCCCAAGTTGCTCCCCAAAGAACTGAGACAGTAGACCACATAAAGGAACTCATTAAAATGTTACATAAAGAAATTGGGTTTTGCATTGAATGCAAGCATAGTAATACAAGACCTTAGAGATCTCTACAATCAGGGACTTGATCATTTCTTATCTTTGCAGATAAAACTTTTTTTTCCCTTCCTTTTTTTGACATTTGATGTTTTTCTTTCTTCCTATATTGGACATTCCTCACATGATGATGAAATGACACCACATACATGCTGAACTTTTCAGCTTTAGATGTCCAGACACTGAGGAGTCACAGTTGCTGTCAGCTCAAGAATTCCCCAGGGAATGAGGACCATTGACCTAGCTTAGTTGTGGTCAGGACAGAGCACTGTCTACGGAAACAATGTAGATTTGGAGGCAACAAGATATCAAGGAAGAAAAGGAACAAATACTAGAGAAAATAATAGTTGTCCTCATCAATTTTCAGTAAGATTGGTGGCTTTTGTTGTTGTTAGGTGCTGTAGAAAATGACCTGAAGTAAAGAATTAGGGGGGAAAAAATTCTAACTTATGGTTTTAGTCTCAGATGTTGAAGTCTGAGAAGAGAATTGTCTGAAATTTTTAAAATCATAAAAGATAATGCATTAACTGATTTCTGGAATGATTTGCACTAAGGATCTTTTTTTTGAGGGAATGATTTTCATTTAATTAGTGAGTGATACTTAGTTTTGAAAAGTATATATCGAATAGCAATTAATTTACATAATGTGTTCCAAGTTTGGAAATACTATATCAAGGGTTTATTAGGCAAATTGATAGTAGTGGTGGTGGTGGTGGTGGTGGTTGTTACTATAAAGTCTCGGACTCAAGAAAGGGACCAGGGTGCTAGAAAGTGTAAAGGCAGCTTTATTAAGGGAGCTCCTGGGTGAGGTTCCTTGTTCAGGAAAGAGAGGCCAGGGAAGTCACACCCAAGTTGTGTTTGGGCAGGTTTTTATATCAGGGTCTTAAGGAAGGGGGAAGGGTAAGGGCATGCCACTGTGGTTAGTTGTTGGTCACGCCAGATGGGTGAGTCTGTTCATTCTTCTTGTTGATGTGCTGCAATTCCTAGTTTCCTATGTAGACAGACCGCACTCTTCAGTTGACAGATCACATAACTGAAGAATGTGACATGTCACCACAAGGCACCAAAGGATGAGACAAATTCCTTATCCTCTCTGGCCTCAATTTTGGCCATTAATGATGTGCCCTTAAATCACTTCTGACTCATAGCAGCCATATGTACAATAGCTCTGAAAACTGCTCTATACTGTCTCTGACACACCTACTCTCATACCTCAGTCACTGTATAGTTCATCTCATTGACAGTCTTCCTCTCTTTCTCTGTCCTTCCACCCTTTCAAGCATAATGTTTCTCTCTAAGGACTGTCCCTTCTTGCAACATGACCAAAGTATGTCAGATGAAGCCTTAGAATCCTTGCCTCCAAAGAACAGCCTGGTTTTACCCTCTCTAAGACAAACCTGTTTGTGTTCCTAGCAGTCCATGGTATATTCAACACTCTTCTCCAGCGCCACAGCTCAGGGGCTTCAATCTCTATCATCTCTAGTCACCATCCAGCTCACTGACACATAGCAAGCATTTGTGAAGACTATGGCCTAGATCAGGTACACCTTAGTGTCCAGACTGACATTGTTACTCTTCAGTGCTTTGGAGAGGCCCCTGACAGCAGACTTTACCAGTGTAACTAATTTCTTGATTTTTCCTGGCTGCTGGCACCAACAGTGTTGATTGTGGAGACAAGCAAACTAAAACTGCTAGCAGTCTCAATCTCTTCACCATCTATCATAATTGATGGTGGCTGTTGTGTACTGTAGAATAGGAACTGACCCATGGCTGACCCTCCAGTAGATTGTCAGAGGCAGTTAATCGTATGGGAGGAGATTACCACTGAGCAGCTGATGGAGCACTGGTAGCCTATTGGCAAAGAAGCCTGCTATAATCTTGAAGGCATGCAGTTCATAATTGAGGAGGTTGTTATTATGTGCTGTTGAGTCATTTCCAACTCATAGCAATCCTGTGTACAACAGCCCTAAACCTTGTTCTGTTTCTTGCCAACCTTATTGTCTCTGACACACATATCCCCATTACCCCAGTGATGGAATCAGTGCATCTCATTGAGGGTCTGCCTCTCCTGTGCTGTCCCTCCAGCCTCCCAATCATAATGTCCCTCTCTAAGGACTGATCCCGCCTTGCAACATGTCCAAAGTATGTTAGATGGAGCTTCAGAATTCTTGCCTCCAAAGAGCAACCTGGTTTCACCCTCTCTAGAGCGAACTTGTTCTCCTAACAGTCCATGATGTATTCAATACTCTTCTCCAGCACCAAAGCTCAAAGGCATCAATTGCTAAATAATGGGACATTTGGGAGAGAAAGTGGAGTACCATCTTAACCTTCTGGATACATGGTATGAATTATTTTCCCATCAATGTTTGTGATATAATGGAAATTGTCGTTATGTACTATGGTAAGCATACTGGTAACAAGATGCACTGCAATACCCAAGGCAGTTCAAATCCACCAGCTGCTCTGAGGGAGAAATATGGGCAATCTCCTTTCATGCTGTTAAACTTTCTCTGGAAACCCATTGGATGGTCACCTACGGGTCAGTGGTAGACATTTATACACCCCCCAACACACACCCCAGAACCCAGGTCAGTGGATATGGAAGACTAAAGAAGAATTTGTGTCTTTGAATAGTGGTGTTGATGAAGAGTATCTGGATCTAGCTAGCTCGATAGATTGTGACCTCCCAAAAAAAGCAAACAAATCTATTTTGGGATAAAATAGCACTCCTTAGAAACACAGATGGTGAGACCTCATCTCACATACATTGAGCATGTTAACAGGAGTGGCTGGCCTTGGCAAAAGGACATTTCACCTGCAAAAATACGAGTTCAGCAAAAGAGAGGAAAACCATCAATGGAGTGGATTGACAGAGTATCTGCTACAGTGGGTTTAAGCACAGGAGTGATATGAGGAAGACTTCACTCTGTTGTATGTGGTGTCCCTGTGAGTAGGAGACACTCTACAGCCTCTGACAATAACAGCTTACTTAATCTTCCTGAAAGCCACAAATGTGCCGTGTTTACTAAACTGAATTATCCAAGATGTATTCCAACAGAATTATTAATGCTTTTTCTTTTCTTTTTTCTTTTTTTTTTCAGAGATGTGGTACTGGATCTTTCTTTGGGCTCTCTTCTCCTCTCTGTTTGTCCATGGTGCTGCAGGAGTGTTGATGTTTGTGATGTTACAGAGGCATCGGCAGGGGCGAGTAATCTCTGTCATTGCCATCAGCATTGGATTTCTGGCTTCTGTAACTGGAGCAATGATTACTAGTAAGTTGCTTTTGTGTCTCTTAAGGGTATAATTTTTTAACTCTATGATTTTGATGACTGTATTCTTATTGAAAGATTGTTATCATCTTTCCTATAAAATGTTTTTCCACGTTACTCACACTTCACCTCAAAGCTAAAATTCAGTTTATTTAGTCATTGAATATATTTTTTGTATTTTAGAGCTTTTCTCTGAAAATAGGATTTTTATACTTTCCAAAAGACTCATTGTGTAAGATTTTGTGGGAAATAGAAAAAAATGGATAAAAATTGGCAAAGTGCCAAGCAGTTCAATGGGAAAATTTTGTCTTGACAGTGAATGTAATTTGTTTTAAAGGAACTCACCATTTGGTTAAGGAAGAAACTATCCATTGCCATCAAGTTGATTACAACTCATAGTGAACCTGGACAACAGAATAGAAATGCCCCTTAGTGTTTTCAAAGCAGTCAGTCTTTATGGAAGCAGATTTTCTTATTTTTATCCTGTAGAGTGTCTAATGGGTTTGAACTGCTGACATTTTGGTTAACAGCTTAATTCCTTAACCACAGTATACTAGAATTTTTTGGAAAGGAAAAAGGTAAGCAAAAAAATATTACAGTTATTTTTTCTTACTAGGTGCTGTCTAGTCAACTAAGACTTAAAGCAACACTGTGAACAACAGATCTGAACTCTTGTCCTATTCTCTGCTATCCTCATCATCTCTGAAATACTTGAGCCCATTGTTACTGTTGCTGTGTCAATTCATCATGTTAAGGGTCTTCTCTCTTGCTGACCCTCTACCTTTCGAAGCGTGATGTCTTTTTCCAATTATTGGCCCTTCCAGCAGCATGCCAAAAATATGTGAAAGGAGGTTTCACTATCCTTGTCTCTAAGGAGCATCCTGGTTGTGCTTTCCCCAAGATATATGTTTATTCTTTTTGCAGTGCAGGGGATAGTCAGTACTCTTCTCTGATACCACACCTCAAAGGATTAGATTCTTCCATCATCCTTATTCATAGTTGTTATAAAAATCAAAGCTAGAGCACTTGGTCCATGGTTGCCATGGTAAAAGACATACTTCTGCCTTGCCTATTAGAATTTAACCACTTTAGAGTTGTTATTGTCATTATGAGCTGCTGTCGAGTCCAATGCAATTTATAACGACCCTGTGAAGAACAGATCTGAACCCTGACCAATGCTGTGGTGTCCTCATATGTCTGGCACATTTCAACTCATTGCTACAGTCTCTGTGTCAGTACATCTCATTGAGAGCCTTTCTCTGACCCCCCACCTTACCAACCGATATCCCTTTCCAAGGAATAGCCTGACTTAGCAATATGTCCAAAGTATGGTGAAACTTGGTATTAGCAGTCAGGAAATAAGTAGGCATATTCCACTGGGAAAATCTGCAGTTAGGGACCTTTCCAAATTATTGAGGCATAATGATGTCATTTTGAGGACTAAGTTTTGTCTGATTCAAGACACAGTCTTTCTGATCACTTTCTGTGCATCTGAGAGCTGGACAGTGAATAAAGAGGACAGAAGACGAATTGATGCCTTTGAGCTATGGTGTTTGAGAAGAGCACTGAACATTCCATAGACAGCCAAAAGAACAAACAGATAGGTCTTGGAGAGGGTGTAGCTGGAGTGCTCTTTGGAGGCAAGAATGATGAGGCTTTGTTTCACATACTTGGGCATGTTGCTAGGAGGTGCTATTCTTTGGAGAGGGACATGACACTGGGAAAGGTGACAGGTTGGCAAAGGAGAGAAAGACCCTCAACCAGGGGGATTGGCAAAGTGACCTCTGCAATGGGTTTTAGAGTGTCAGGAAGTGTGAGGATGGCATAGGACAGAACAGGGTTCAGATCTTTTGTTCATAGAGTCGCTATGAGTGTACTCAACTTGATGGCATCATATAACAAGGAGCCATTTGGTTACACTTTTTCCAAGACATATCTGTTTGTTCTTTTGATAGGTCATTGGGTATTCAGTTTTCTTCTTCAACACCACAACTCAATGGCTCAGTTCCTCTGTCATCCTTATTCTTCATCCAGTTTTCAGATACATAGCAAGTGATTGAAAAGATCATGGCCTGTGTCAGGTGTACCTAAGTCTTCAGACTGACATCATTGCCCCTCAGGAAGAGGTCTCTGACACCGGACTTTCCCCATGCCATTCATACTTTAGAGTATCTTCTAGTTATTGGACAGTTTTCCGCCATGCTAAATTTTATGTGACATTTCATCTAAGTCCCTTGGGTTTGTTCCCTTGACACTACACTTTATTTCAAGAAAACAGTTCTTCTTGCAGCTGTTCCGGAAATTAGGTTCAGTCTGTTAACACTAAAAGCTGCCATCGGTGCTGCTGTGGTACATTTATGTGGTGGTTAGTTGTCATTGCCAGTTAATGATGGGGACTTAGAATGCTCTTCATTTGGGGCCTATTCATATCTATCTATCTATCATTCTATACACAGTCAGGTTTGGGGCTCTCCAACAAAGACTTCTTCCTTTCCAGTTGGTTCTTAGCTCCAGAGATAAGAGGATTCTTCTTCTGCAGTGTAGACATCACCCTTCTTTTTCATCACAGCATCTCTTTTTCCTGGGGTGATGGACATACTTTGCCTTGAGAAGAATGGCATGCCGTCATTGCTCTGGGTATGGTCCTGTGTTAGAACATTAATAAACCATAGAACAGCTGTGGGAAATGATACTCATCTTTATGTACTTTTATGTATGTGTTATGCTCTGATGGTATTTTATTGTTATTATTCCTGCAGTAAATCTAGAACTTTATCAAAGAAAACATCAACTACTGTGACAGAGGCAGAATTTTAAGTAAGTGTTCAGGTCTAGCTGAAGTTCAAGATAAGTGTAATGGATAGTTGGGGACTCAAGGAGAAAGGAGGAAAATTCTAAAGATTTATGGCGGGCCAACCAGAATCCTGCAAGTGAGGGTATTTGAGAAGGGTTGGCAACAGAATATCAGCAACATTTTTCCTTACAGTTGATTACTTCATATTTGATAAGGGAAGAATCAAGACACAACTCAGAAAGAGCAGGGCCCTGGTTCCTTAAAGAGAATAGATAAAATTGAACTAATGGGTGAGAAGACTGAAGAAAGAAATTATGGAGGAAAAGAGAGAGGAAAGGGGATAGTTAGGCAAGGATTAGGATAAATTAAGGAGAGGCATTAAGAATTAAGAAGCATTACCTCCAAACTAAGCTCGAGGAGGTCAGAATTTGAACCAGAGTAATGACAGTGGCTGGACAGAAAGGAATTGATAACATAATTACAGCAAAGGGAGAACAAATTAAGTGTTATTCATTATTGTAGCATACAAAGAAAGGGGAGCACCTCTAGTTTAATGTGGGACATTGTTGTAGTTAGGGAATTGGGAATATGGAAGAGCGAAGGCGCTACATGTTCCAATGCAGTTCCTATTTTCCATAAATGGTTTTGGTAAGAAGAATATTGTAAATGTGGATACAGTTCCACTATTCCTCCTCCATGCCATGATATCGTGTTATTAGCATGAGCAGTTATAAATCCATTGCCTTCCTTACTC